TGTTGACGGTAGATGTTTCAAGGATTTCCAGAGACCTTAATCAGCGTAGCAGTGGGTGAAAACAGCCCTTTGGCAGTACATGATGAGCAGCAGTAAGCTCAAGTTGTTTTTTGTGTCTTAATCATATTAGAGCTGTAATATTACGTCACCTCGGGAGTGTTTCAGCAGTTGACGGGCCGTTCGGTGGTCTCGGACAACAGCCCATCACCCTTTGCAACATTTTATTACATCTCCCAGCTGGTGAGGCCAATTTTTACTTAATCCATTAAAGCAGTTAAACTTAAAGACTGCTTTAGTAACTGAAAACACTATAAAACACTGTCATAACGAGCAGGTGCCTGGCTTATTGCCTGGCTTATTGTTGCTGTTGCACGAATCAAGTATGAAAAAATGTTTTGCTAATCTGCTAAGCACATGTGGATTCCTTATACGGTGTGCAAATACGTTAGGAAGGCAGAGAATCCACTTAAATTAACTCTAAATTCTGTTTATATGTACAGGTTAGCTACCATTCGAGGTCAGCATTTCTTTGTTTGCTAAAACAATGCCACTTAAAGTTTAAGTAATTGAATTAAAAAGTGATAGTACAAAAGCAAGTTAAATATAAATCACTTAAAATCTTTCCCTCCAGATGATGTGGCATTTTCCCTGTGGAATTAAACAGAAAAAACAAACAAATGTATCTTTGAGAAGGAAAATATTTAAAAACGGGTACAATGGCCTGGTTGCACAGGCGTACAAAGCTCTAAACTAATAGTTTGTTAAATCAATGTTAGCATTCAAAAGTTTTCCAGTGGATTATGTGGGCATCTCATGACCTCTTTACCCTAACCCTATTCCTTACCCTATAGGAAAATGGCAAATGTGGAACAATGTAGAACAGAATCAAATCTGAGAAGGTCAGCTGATCGCAGTTGTTTACCTCCCACTGGGATCTAATGAGAGCCTGAAACCAGCTGTGAACTCAAGAAGACTGAATCAGAAAATTGTTTAACAGAGCTTTAGTTTAAGGAAGTGCACATTTATGCAGCCAGGCTTTTGCACTTTTTCTTTTGCAACTCCCACACAAATTGATTATTTTTTCAGTTGTATTGCAAAGACTAGATAACATGTTTTATGGCACTTTTGGGAGTCTTTACTGATTTTAACAGTGATTGTGATTTACAGCTAATGGAAACCCAAATGTTAGTTTTCTTAGAAAATAACTTTACAGAAAACCAACAGAAAATGATTTTAATAAAAGGTTTCAGCCTTCAAAGTGACGGGGAAGGGAGACTTAACAGGGAGACATTGACACCCTCAACAAGGAGAGTAAAACAGAACGACATTGAAGCCGGTGGGGTTATAAAACAATACACAAATGAAAAGTTAAGTGGAAGGATAAAGTGTGGTTGAAAAGGGTGCAAAAGCAGCTGGTGTAATGTGCCACTGTAATATATAAACATCTGCATCAGGCTCAATTTTTTGATTGAATTACTGTAATGAACACATTTTTTGACTCAGTATTCCACAGTACAAAGCCTTAAGAGTGGGTAGCCATGGAGATCCACCACAATGGAAAACTACCACACGTGTTGGAGGAAAATTCCACTAAATCAACCTTCAGAAGATGCTGACAAGTTTGTCAGCACACACACTGTTACTCTTAGAGGAAACATCACAGAACACACAACACATGTCCCGAGGTTCTGCATTGAATGTGATTGTTTTTATTTGTTGCTGCTCTTAGCTCTGGCACATGTGATCTGACACCACTGGTTTCAGGCCCTCATTAGGACCCAGTGGGAGGTAAACAACTGCAAACGGCACATGGTGACGTGAGTGTGTTTTCCAAAGCAACGCTGACACTGATTCTGGAAAGTAAGGAGGCTGAGGAGTGTTTTTTGTGTTCCAAGTGGCATCGAAAATAATGCCAGACATTTCTATTGTGACAGAGGGAGAGATAAACTGAAACAGGCTGCATCGGAGAGTACCACAAGAAACTAAACAAGAGCATTTAACGCAAAGAATAAATGCACATTTTTGGACGTGGTGAGCATCTTTGCATGTTCAAGCAGTTTATCCGTGGCTGTGTTTTGCTTCTAAGGCCATTAAGCTGTTTGGACTGCTCATCACTTGGAGCCAATGTTCAGTGTCGGATGGATCAGAGCGGCTTTATCGTCAATGTTTGCGTTGTAATGATGGTTCTGAACAATGCCACTGCGCTGCCATTCTCATTTCACATAATTTACTGCGCTTATAGGCCAAGACGGGTGGAATGCTTTCAACTTTTATGATACAAAGTTGTGCCAAGAGGTTTTTTTTTTTCCTCTTCTCCTTCTTCTCTGAGGGCTTTTCAAAGGGGAAAAGCGATTCATGCCCTCACTGTTCAGCTGGGCCATTACGCTCATATCAGATCGGTGCGTTTGATGTGCTGAGAGATGGAGCAAAATAAATAGCGAGCGCAAGGCTGTGAGAGACTTGCAACGCAGTGCGTTAATTAACGAAGGTCTATACCAATTAGGCTCCCATGATTGGTGTGTGAATGTCAGCGCAGTCACGCAGTTCGGGATTCAGAGCAACACCACTGTTCACTGAGCACAAAGAGCGTAAACAAGAGCTGGCAGCGAGCGTAGCTGGGCAGCGCCGAGAATTTACGGCTTTTCCGACGATTTCAACTTGTACCCCGGCAAACTGATGAAAACATGAAGCAAGAAATAAAAAGTTTTTATGCTCCAAGTCAGGAATGGAAGTCGGAGTGTCATGGAAATGATTCATGTGCAAAATAAAACTCGACTGATCTCCTTATCCTCCAGCATGAGTTTGTTTTCTGGAAGTCCTTTATTCCCAACTGGGACATTAAAGGATGATTTAAAAACAACAACAACAACAACAACAAACCTTAAAGGGACTTTTATCCTGTACAAATAAACTGAAAAACGAATCTGCAATATCTCAGTTGTGTAAGTCTAAAGTAATATTTTTGTTTCAGGATTCAGTCACATTTGCCATCAATTGTAATGTATTGAAATACGATTTCAGCTATCCTCTGAGGATGTTGATGTTACGGTTTAAAGGTATCAGTCAGGATGTTGTGTCACGGCACTGTGGAAAGTTGCAAGAAAACATTTAGGCCTGGTGAAAACTAACAAACTTTTATAGTTGTAGTCTGGACAAACCAAGCGAACATTTTGGTGTGTTTGGAACAAAACGATCCTTCTGAAAGAAGACCCTGCCCATGTTTGAAACATAATAGTGATGTGATGCTTTTAATCTTGGCTCTGGTTTAGGAGTGGGTTAGCATAAGGAGTGATAGCATAGCCCACGTCCCACACACATCCTCAGAACACCTCCAGCTGAGTCCGCACCCGGTGAACTTCAGAAACACTTAAAATGGGTTTTACATCAAACTCCTTTTAAAGCTGCAATAATCCCTGTTGCTTCTTCATCTGTTTCTTCCAACCCCTATCCTTCCACACAACGTTCCATTAACTTTCTTGGAAATAACACCAGCCTCTTTTTGCAGTGGTATTTCATACCTTGTGGAGACTATCAGTGACCTCACCACAACCGGTTGTGTGTAAGATATAAACTATAATATATATTGACTATGCTGCTTTTCTAACTTGTGTCTATTATATTTGCTCAAATGTCAAGTTCGTATCAACTGTTTGCATTTTCCCTCTGGCAGATTTGTTCTTTAGTAGAAAATTTTTATTTTATTCTATAAACCAGAGATGATATGAGTGAATTACGTTTATGACTAAAAATGGATGACAATCACCAGAAACTCCATCCCAAATAGTTAAACGTTTCCTCACATTGTAGGACGTTTAGAGCCATATAAAATGTTAATTTACTTGTCAATCAGTCAAATCTCACCTTGTCGAAGGAGAGATTTCAGTGTTTTTACCTTGGTTACTTACCCTTGGTTACTTTGCCCTCAGAAGTTATTAACGGGTTTTAGCCAACTGACCTTTTCTGTTGTCAAGCCCAATCATGTTAAATATTCAACTTCCCCTGACAAATGAGTCAGTACTTGGTAAGACAACACCAGCCTTTGGATTTTAATTCCTCAAAGCATGATAAAGCAGATTCAGGAGCGGGATATGCGGCTTTATGGGGGAAATTGAATATTTGGGCTTTTAAGTTTTATGAGAGTGTAACAACATCCAAATCACAACAATCAAGCAGTGCATTTCTCTAAAATACATAATAAAAGTTACATTAGACCTAGAACAGAAAATCTTGATTTATGTCAGATCTACAAAACAGCTGAGACACTGAGCTCCTTTAAATCAAGGTTAAAAACCCATCTGCCTACAGTTACCTTTAATTCATAATACCGGGAACATTAACTAATATATTTGACGATTATGGTGATCGCATTTACTAAATCGTCACACAATATTGCTTGTTTTATAAATTGGTTGTGTTGTTTTTACCATGTGAAGCCCTTTGACTTGCCTCGTTGCTGAAGTGTGCTATATATAAACCTGACTCGACTTTGAAGGTATAAATGGAGACTATTAATTGTAGGTCTTTTTAGGGCATTTTAAGAACCTGAAGAGAACTTGTTTAATCTTCTGTCAATTTAAAACCATTTATGCTTTCATATAAAAAAAAGCATCAAAGGAAATCAAAATTCACCTTTAAGTGTGCCAGGGTCTTTAAAAGCCTCCTAGGAGTTAACAGTTTGGGACTGTGCTCAATGGTAACCTCACTGCACAGATGTTGTAAAAGGACTGTTCAAAGCTCCCATTTAAAATTCCTCTCTTGCAGCTCTCCAAACAATGAAACAATCTGGGAAACGGGATAAAAACAATGTCCCCGGCTTTGGCCCCCAGATACATTTATCTGTGTGTTTAAACAGGTTCTCAATGCAATGAAACGTACCACTCTGTTTCGCCGTTGCACAACTCGACCGGGAGATCAGACACCTCATTACTCGGCGAGAATGCGTCGGGTAGTCAATTAATGAGGTGAATGTTTGAAGAGCGAAAGCAATAATGACCCAATTGTTTAGTTTTCTTATATATAATTATGCATTTATTCACAAGAATGAAATAAGTCCGCAGCGGGACACACGCAGGTCGGGACAGGAAACAGATGGGTCCTTCGGTTTACTTTGCAGACCTCCGGGTCCTCTTGTCCCAGGAGAAGTTCGCCCCATACGACTTCACCCGGGGCTTTGAGGTCCTCTTCTCTGTGACTTCGTAGCTCCAACCTAGCGGGAAAAAAAAAAAAAAAACGACAGTAAGTGAGAGCGTCCTGTCCGTTCACTGGACGTGCTCTAGCGCCGATGAGGTGTCTGGCGGACATTTACAGGCTGCGTGTATTCAGAACGTCTCTAATCGCTTTCGTGGCGCAATAAACAGAAGAAGCCAGTTTCCTTTACTTGGTTTCAACAAGCCTCCCCAGATGGTTTGGTTCTCTGAGTCAGTCAACTTGACTGCTGCTAGACAGAAAACACATCACTCATATTTAACTGCCTGTTCAGCTCAGATTGAATCATTCCAAACTTTTTCTCTTTTGTGTCTGTTTTTCCAGAGGCTTTTTTTTTATTTTTTATTTTTATCTAGATTTAAACAGGTGATGTATTATAATCGTCTTTCTACTCTCCGATGACAGTCACTGGGTTTACAACAGCGAATCAGCTGAGCAATAAAGAGCCCATATTATGCTCATTTACACATATGAGTTCACATATTTGCGCCCCTTAAATTTTTCCCCAGTTTGTCATGTTCCAACCGCAAACTTTGTGATTTTATGTGATAGAACACGATGGTGCATCTTTGTGAAATAAAAATACATATTTTTTAATTTTTTTATTTTATTTCCTACAAATGAACATCTGAAAGGTGTAACATTTCAGTCCCTTGGAGTAAAATCTTTATAGAACCACTTTTCACTGCAATTCCAGCTGCAGGTCTTTTAAAATGTGCCTTTAACGACTTTATTTTGTAGCCAGTTCCTGCTTGAAAAAGCTGGAGCTCAGCTACATTTACTGAAGAAATGTAGATGGACAGTTTTTTAATCTCGCCACAGATTCTCAACTACATATAGATGCTGACTCTGAACAGATCGTTGCCCCACATGAATATTGTTCGATTTAAAACATTTTACTGTTGCTCTGCTTGTATATTTAGAGTGATTGTGCTGCAGGATGGCAACTACCAAACATATCTAAAGTGTCTTGCAGCCATTAATAGGTTTTCTTGCACTATAAATAGATATGCCTACCTTCCCTGCAGCATGATGGAGCCACCACCATGTATGAAAGTGTGAATGATGACTTGAGGTGGTTTTTAGCCATATGCTGCATCATTCATGCGGGGCAAGTTTCATTTTGGTCTCATTAGGCCTGCAGACGTTTAATTTCCTGTGGCTAGTCGTATGAGTCGTGTGAAACGACTCACGTTAAAGTTTTGAGGGGAGTGAATACTTTTGCAGATCACAGCACACAGAATAAGGAACTTGACCTGCGAAGCTCTGAAGTGGGAAAGTATTTAAAAACGTAAATATATTTGTGAAGCATAAAAACTAAATTTTTTCATTCACACATCTAAGTAAAGAATAAACTCTGCAAAGTGCCATTAGGTAACACTGAAACCAGAATTTTATTTTAAAAAAAACAAACAAAAAAAATAATTAGCTGGTCATGATCATTACAATTACTTAACCGAATGCACTATAAACCAAAATAATAAATAAAAGGTTTGTACTGAAGCATAACATTCACAATCAGTTTAACCAACCGTCTTACATACTTCACAGCCTTTATTGTTCTGTTTTCTGTCACTTTTATGGATTCTTACCATTTTTCTCAGCAAAAGCAATGGCGTCTTCCTTTGAGGAGAACGAGAGCACCATGTTGGACAAAGGATCGGCCCTGAAACGCAGAAGAAAGAAAACATCCCAGGAGAGAAACGTCAGAGGACACAATTAGAACGACTGTGACCCCACTTAGCAATGATCCAGATTCACTCCAAGTGGTGGACTTACGTTGAGGCCCAGCCCATCAGCGGGTTCTCCCACCGCTCTCTGGTGTCAAAGTCCATCTTCCACTTCTTGGTGCTGTTGATGCCAGACTGCATGGCCGTTTTGGCGGGGACGAAGATGTGAACCTTGCGGGTTTTGATGTGCTCCTCCGGGACCCCCGTCAGAGTCGTGATGTCCTAAGGGAAAAGGAAAAAAAGAAAAACAACAGACGGTGACGAAAAGCAAGCTTTCGACAGGAAACAAAAAGTAAGGGTCATTTTTAGTGGCTGGTGGAAAATGTAACTGTGACTTTGGCCACTTTTGACTGAGCTTAAAAGAAACAGCTGAACCTTCTTAAACGGAGAAATATGATTATGACCGAATAAAAAGTTCTCTTTTGGCAAGGGTTCATGTCGGTTCATGATGAAGTTTCAGCAGTCAGGTTCTCTGTGTTGGGCGTTTTACATTCACATTTTGGCTCCCTTGGCAGAACACGGACTTCCATATAAAATTCGACAGAAAGACTTCCCAGAGATTTTATGGAGGGGACGATAAGTTGATTTGTGGGTCAAAACATGACCAGTGAGAAAAACAACAGCTAAGTTATGTTTCATAAATCTAACTGAAATCAAAATTCCTCCATAAAAAAAAAAACATATATATATATATATATATATATATATATATATATATATATATATATATATATATACAAAAAAAACGCGA